AATGACAAGGACATCAGAAGAGTTTAGAAAACGATTTTAGCTTCCCGGCTTCACTGAATTTCTAACTAATACGATTAAAAATTGTTTGACGTGTCTGCAACTCGAATAAGCAACGGCAAAGCCCCAAGTTCCACCACTACAACCAATTTCATCACTACAATGTTTCCCAGGCGACATGATGCAAATTGATATCGTTGGACCACTAAAGTCACCAGTCTGCAAGTTTGTTCTCACTGGAATCGATGTATTCTCGAAATACTTGTTTGCAGCACCATTGACGAATGCCAGCGCGGATACTGTTGAAAGAAAACTCACAAAGACGTTCTTTGTTCACAGTTATATCCCGAAGAAGATTCTAGCTGCTCTTGGAAAGACATTCACTTCAGAACTTATGCACGAATTGGCGACACTGCTCGAAACTCAACTTAACCATACGACACTAAAACACCCGCAGACTATCGGCCTTGTCAAACGATCTCATGGACCACTTAAACGAATCCTAAAGCTGAACACTAATGAACAATGGTCAGACTGGCACAAATATGTCCCATTGGCAACATTTATCCAAAATACTTCATACTCTTCATCAATTGGATGCTGACCAAGCTCAATTTTCCATGGAAGAGAACCGACGAAACCACTTGATCTCCGCTTCTCAACGAAAGCAATTGAAACAGTAACAGCTAAATCTGATTTTGTTACGGCAATGCAAGATGCGATGTTAGAAAAGTTCAAAGAAACGAAAAAGAACCTAATTTCTGCTTACCATAAATACCGAGGATATTACGATCAAAAAGCACTTGCTCAGCCACTGAAACAGCGTTCATTTTGTATATTATTAAATCCTCTGTTGACAACTCAATCAGAGTTTGGAAGCAAATCAATGCAAGTCTGAATACCATTGTACAGAGTTGAAAAAGTATTGACAAATTCAAACTACATCATTCGTAAAATGGGAACCAATTACACACAATGCGTACACCGGATTCGTCTCAGACCTGTTGTTCCACAGCATCAACCAGAAGATCTCGAGAACATTGATCCGAGCAAATTTGAAACGGATCCATCACTTGGTAAATATCGAAGTGAACCAGGACTCTTCGACGATTCTTTGCCTAAGCTCTTAGACGACATCCAAACCGCGAACGGTGGACAAAGCAACCTTCCCGATGCACCTGCTCGAATCCGACTGTCAGTACCTCTTGGTGGACCCGTAGCAGCCCCAATCGCTCCTGCAGCAGTCCCAATTCCCACAGCAGCACCAATAGTTGCACCATTACCTCTGGTAGCGCCACCAATAGCAGCACTGCCGCCACCAGCACTCCCACCGGACCCAGATCCAGAACCGTTAGTTCCACCTGAGTTTGAATACAACGATGAACTAATTAACGACGAAACAATGAACGATGCAGCGGTAACAATGCCAACTACTGTTAATCTCGGAAACGATGGACAAAACATGGCCCAAGAAACATCGCGAACGAAGCGAAAAGCAGCAGTCGAAGCGCGAGACAAAATGTTTTGACAAACGCGCTTCAGCAAACGATGTGAGATATCATCTAATACCACCAGTCGAATTGCAACCGCGAAAATTCAGCCTACGAACAGTAGATGGACGCGAAGTGGCTCCAGTAACGTTCAGTCCAAGATCAACCCAAAACGAGAACCGCTCAAAAATGAAGAAAGTAGAAGAGGTGAATGAATATTTCCTTCCACGCGAAACAAAAAGAAATATACTAAAAGACAGCGTAAAACGAGCGAAGCAACTGACTAAAACTAAGGGTAAAGATGGACCTGGCAGCAGCAAAGATTCGGTGAACTCAATCTACGATGAACCAAATATCTTTGTCGGACCAGGAAATGTTTTACAGTTCCCAGGCTCTATAGCTCACTGCGTCTCAAGTGATTTTCAAATGGCAAAAGGAGTAGCAAAGCAGATCAGCAGCGCCTACCCATGCATCAAACCAACCCTAAAAAGCATTGAAACACTGATAGTTGGATCATCAGTTTCAGTCTCTTTGCCTTGGGAAAACAAATCGGTTTTCAATTTAGTCGCTAAACCACAATTTTTTGATAAACCAACCTACTACGATTTGTCACGAAGCCTCAACTGTATGAAGCAACAGCTCTTGCAGAAAGGAATAAATGCAATAGCCATGCCAAAAATCGGATGTGGTCTCGACAAATTGAAAGAAAGTAGAGTTTTCAGCCTAATTTGCGACATTTTCGAAAAAACTAACATCAAAATTTTCATTTACATATGAAACAAAGTCACGATATCGCGCCCCACCGTTCATGCATTCACTATAACCCTTTATAGCTCCAACAGCAACCAGCTGATGTTACAAAAATCAAAAAAGACGAAGTCAAGTCGAAGAAAAAGAGAAAAATTCGAGAAAAGTCTTCTTTCAAGTTCGAGATTTCCGCAAAAACGGACGTCCAAAACACCATATGCGTGGTACAATAATTTCATACCCCTGGATCATCCTTATAGCCCCACCGGGACACAGGCACGAAGTCGGCTCACTAGGAGATGTCAACTTCCCATAGATCTCGAAAATTGCACCAAATCCCCATGTATTAAGACTAGGGATAAAACGCTTTTGAGACCCCCAAGTGCAAAAAGATTCAGAATCCGAAAATTTCAACACGGATCACCTTCATAGCACCCATCGGCCATGTCTACGAAGTCGGCTCACTGGGAGATCTCAACTTCATGAGATATGGAAAAATCCACCTGTTGCCTATGTTTAATCATTAGCTATAAAAAAATTGGACGTCCCCCAAAAACGAGAAGAAACTGTATTTTTTTTGAGCCCAGTGACCACCAAATGGCCAATGAGGAACGTGTAAGAAGTCAGCTCACTAGCAGATCAAAATTGGGAAAGATACATCATTTTCCGAAATTCCTATGTAATAAGATAGGCAAAAACGAGAAAAAAAAATCGATGGAGTTATTCGCTAAAAATCCGAACTCAAAAGCTATGACTACGCCGGAAATCATCCACTGCAACCGTTGAGACAACCCTGACAGGCCGTCAGGCACACTGAACAGTTTCTTCGAGCCTTAAAAGATACGATTAGACCACAAATCTTCAAAAACTTTAGAATAAAAAAAGGGGAATCCATCCTTTATCATTCTGTCTGATGCTTAATTTTGCTCAGTCGAACCAGCAAAGTACTGGAACAGCCAATATGAGTGAAGGGCAGTGACAGCAGAAGAAACTAATTGAAAACAAAAAGACAGATTCTGTATTATGAGACGATGGTGGCTAAAAAGCAAAAATCATCGTTAAAAAAGTGGAATTCTGACTTCACACAAAAAGAAGTGTATCATTGCCTTTCAGGGTGTCAGACCATCAGAGGCACAAAATACCCAAAAGAAAAAGATGAGAATTCTTCTTAACAATCTGATGATATCTGAAACCCACAGTGGCAACTTTTAAGAACGTACAACAAAGTACAAATTGCTTTATAAGCTGTCAACTTCGAAAAAAAAAAATCGGGAATCTTTCGAAAAAACAGAGCACTGTTACGTTGTTGGATACAAATTCACAATAACCGAGGCTAATAGAAGGATCAAAAAGCCCATATCAAAGTGAAAAATAAACTTAGGCATCAATGGAGCAAAATGAATGACATGCACCAAACAATGAACGAAGTCAGCGATACGAAAATTTGAAACGAAACGACAAACAACAATAGTCTGCTACACGACACTACAGAACTTGCCGTGCAAATTTAGTTAAAGTTGATAACTGAAATTATCATGCTATCATCGAATTGACCCTATCACCTATCACTTAACTCCCTTAACCCGACTCAATGTGGCCTTCTGTTCCCTTTAAAATATTTCCCATTTAACAACAATACAATTTTATTTTACATTATGTAATTCGAAGGAATAACCTGTATCTCCAACTCATTGAGTGTTAATTAATTCTTGCCATAACGTGATAGATAGATAACCAATTTTCCTGTAGCAGTATATATTCTGTCAATTTGATTGTAAATTTTTAAACTCAATTATTTTAACTGTAAACAGTCAAAAACTTAAAACCACCCGGAGAGATTTCTTCTTGTGAGGTAGTGTGACATCACTGCATTATGCCATGCATTCTTATGCTATAATAGATTACATAATTAACCTTGTTAATGAAATGAAGTTTTATTTATTTAACTATGTAAATATTGATGGTAATTAATACCAATCATTAGAGATTTATACCGAGCTACTAATCATTTGGGTAGACTTGAACAGAATAAAATATTACAATCATGCTCTAACTTGCGCCGATCGACTAGCGATATTCCAGAAGTTAAGAACCGAATCCTGCGTCCCTAAAAGCAAGATAAGTCTTAACCGCTCGAGACATATAAATTATGAATACAATTCAATAATAATTGATAGCCAGTAGCGCTAATTACTATCCGAACAGCTTACAACATTAACAATAAACGACGATATAGCTGTCCACAGCCATCCGAAGGGACACTATATCACAATCTTAACACCATTATAAAAAAACCTTGGGTCAATAGGCAATGTTTTTTAATCCGCAGAAAAATCTTAAGACTGAGATCCACTTTTGAAACTTGAATTAATTCACACTTGTACGCGCCATTTTAATTTTCGTAGTTGGATATAGTAATCGGCGTTCCTTTTGATAAAAGATTTTGAATTGAACCTATGACGAAATCAAAAAACACAGCAAAAAAATCAAATTTGAACGTGATCAAATTGTAGACATTTTCATTTTAGACATTTTCAAAGAAAACACGTCATCGACACTTAAAAACTGCTGAGCTAATATAATATCTTTTTCTGGCGGATACCAATTCCAAAAACAAACATTCATTATTGCATTGTATATAAAAAACTGTCCATAAATAGCAGAAAAGTATGAACAATCCGATGATATTGAAGCTTTGCGTTAACATTGAACTCCCAAAAAGTTACAGACAGTATTATTTGATTTGGTTCGACTGATTTGACTAACTTGTCTAGATTGAGTCTCTGCAGATTATAAGCCCTCTCTTCTGGAGTTCTGTACACGAAGGGCACTCCTGGCTCATCTGGTGAGTCAGTGATCATCACTCGGTCACCTGGACAGAAAAAGTCACACTCATCATTCACTAGTTAATCAATTAAATTATTAATAAATCCGAATTGCAATAAGAAAATTGTGCAAAATTAGACACTCGAGAGAAGATACACTCTAATTTTTGATAACAGCATTGATTCAAACGGAGAGCGAGAAAACTGAACTGTCAGTATAAAACAAGAATTTTTGTCCTGAGAAAGAGCCCATTTTTAAATAAAAAAATAAAAATTTGAGCTCTAAATTGCTCCGATAAAAAATCCTTGCACCTTTTATAAAAAATTTTCTGAGGCTAATTTTGGAACAGTTAATCTATGCTTAATTTATATAGCTTCAGATAAATTCAATTATTATCATTGTTTTATTTAAACTATTTTCCAAGGTTTTTATATTTGTTGCAAGTAGGGAAAGTGACGAAGCTGAAGCTGTGAGTTAATCCTGGTGCAGCTTAGACTTAGGAGTTAGTAAATACCATTCCAGTGACTAGTACTTATTCAAGTTATTAAAAGCAGAGTTCCCATTCAAGGGTCAAGATCTCTTCGATTACCCCCTCTCCCCTCCCCGCTTAAGGGAGAAAAATATTTTACAGGGTAACTATTTGCTCAATTTTAACCCCTGATTTAGTCTTTTATAGGGATGGACAATCTTTACTAGATTCCATCAGAATAAGAAAGGGGAGGGGTGGGGTAGTGAAAGAGATGTTACAGTCAAAACCAATTCCGCCATTCACCGTAGCTTATTATGCGCTGTTCACTCTTGCCTCGGAGCGAATTCTTCTCTTTGACTAAAAGTAAACGCCAATAATAAAAGCAACTTTAAAACCAACCTTGTAACCTTTTGTAAACATATTTCTACAGCAGTATCTCTATTGCTATCTAACTTAAATTTCACAAATTACTTTCTAAATTCTTCATGAATTCGAAAAACCGCCACAAAATTACTTACCTAAACTAATTTGAGTAGCAGCATGGTAGCCTGAAGATTGGCCAGTCTCCCCCTCCTCCTGAGTCTGAGACACTCTCTCCCCCCTCGCTCCAGTCCCTCCATACGCCCCCGAAACATTATTCCCATTACTGGACATCAAATTCTGCTCGTTACTCGCAGGTAGCACCGATGTCAGTCCGCCACCTATTAAAACACTCTGCTGGCTATTCTTCCGATCACCGAAGGAAAGCCCCCGGAGCGACCCGGCATTTGTGCCAGGGGCGCCAATGACTGCATTTGGAACTGGTTTCTGAACAACTCGAGGTCCTGAGTTGGTTGTCGGGTCTGAAATAAAAGAAGTGATGCTTATGTTATTCTATCGTAGTGTGTGTGTGTACCAATGTATACTATTTTTAGTTCAAAAAATAAACAAATATATAAACTATATACAAAAACAAAACGATACTCAAATGGTATTATTTATCTGCTACTGAAGCAATCGTCTGAGATACCATCAGGGGCGGATTTAGGGGGGGGGGGGGGGGGCGGGCACGCCTCCCCCCCCCCATTCAGGGATTCGACCCCCTGCCGACCCAAAGTGTCATTCAGTGTCAAAATCTGTCCATTCAGTGTCAAAAACGCTTTTTGTGGCCTTATTTCCAAAAATGCGCCTGCGGTATAGAAAAATTGGCCAAAATAGGGTCTTTTTAGTGCTCTGGAAGAGCTCAATTTGGAAAATCAATTAGGCCAAAAAAGGTCAAAAATGCAAGATCACCCCCTGGCTCTAATATGATACATCACTCGTCCAATTCCAATGATTACTTAAGAAACTTGATTTTGCGTGGAGAACAAAACAAAAAATTAAAACACACCCGAATACAAAGTTCCTCCCCATTTTCAATGGTCGGAACAAAAAATTATAAATACTATACTAATGCTATAAAAGATCTCAGCAAATTAATGAGGCACAAAAATGCCTTTAAGGTGCGAAAAAAATAAATACATAATTTAAAGCTAGTGAGAGAAGCCATGAAGTCAAGGGTTAATCTTCTACCTGAATCAAAGAGATCTCGGTTTTTGGAAACGCCAGACGAAGAATAACGATATGTAAGCTGGGTCGGATTTTGTTTCACTGGCGCCGAAAAAGTCACAAGCGGCTGAATGAGCTTCGAGGCAACTACAACCCTTTCGCGATTATGTTTGTCAAAACTCGGTTTCATAATTGATATTTATGAGCAACTGAAATTATTATAATAGAAAACAAAAGCTATTTAATTGATTTGCATATTAGTGAAAAGAGCGTATAAATAAGTAATCACACGGTCGCAAAACGTGTTTTAATGACGTCGAAAACTGGTCTTCAGCAAAGTAAAATTCACTTTCATGAAAAAGAGCTGACTCGATCAGCCAGAAACTATTTTTGAATTGCAATAACAATCGGTTTGTTAAAACAGCTATCCAAATTAGCCACGAGCAAGCCTACAAAAAAATTTTAATGACTTAATGATAATTGATAATAGAACAGGGGCGGATCTAAGATTTTCTCTAGGGGGTCGGACTTTCAAGAAAAAATTGAAAATTTAGTTGACCATTTTTTTAGTTCGACCAAAATGATTTTATGAGCTCTCCCAAATCACTCTAAAACCCCATTTTGACCAAAAAAGGTATATTTAGGCACTTTTCGGAAAATCCCCTCCACTAAATCCGCTACTTTAATAGAAAGAATGATAATTTTACGGATTTTGATTTCCTTGGATAAGAAGATGGTTACACTTAGTCCCAATTTAAATAGATATAATTTAATCAGAATGCGCAACTTGTTTCCCGAATTTAGATTTTCGAAATTAACTGTTTCGAATAATTGACTGTCTTCATTCTTGTCTATATTTAAAAAAAAACTTTCTCTTAATCGAGAACTGCATAACAAAATCATTACTGGAAAGCTTTAATCCTTCTCTCAACTCCTCAAAATGTTTCTTTGCTGATTTAATTTTGTCAGAAAAAACTATTAAAAAATCTGGACCTTATTTAAAATAAAAAAACTTAGAATCTCACAAGTCACCCTCTCCAATTATGTTGATAAAAATGTCTTGATAAAAAAGAGCATAAAAGACGCCCCAAATTCTACCAGAATTAATGATATTCGATCATGTAACGAGGTTGGGATTCTAGCTGTATATCTAAAAACAAAATTTGTTCACAGCAACTAAAAACTGTCAGCAATTCCAAGTTTTTCTTCATTAAAAAAATAAAAACAGCCAAGTATGACAATTTCCGGAACACGACAATTCGCAAAAAACAACTCGCAAAAAAGACAACTCGTAAAAATTAGCAATTAGGAGAACTCGCAAAACAACTCGTGAGATAATCCCTTACTTACCCCAGAGCTTAGACCCGTAACCCCTCACTAAATATCCGTTAATTTCAAACTTAATTCAAAACAGTTAACACCAAAAACTAGGTCCAAAAATTTGATTGCACTATTTCGTAAATCATCATTTTGGTTTCTAAAAATGTTTCTACTAATTCGAATAATATTGCCTTTCACTGAAAATCAGCGCGGAATACGAATCTTGATTTTTGAAGATGTTGCCGAATAAACGAGAAGTTTAAAAGTGTCTTTATTTTTAAGCATTTCAACAATTTGAATTTTTATGAAATTCGGTTTAGTTAAACGTGCATCGCAGTTTGAAATCTTAGGTGGGAATGTACGCAAAAACAAACTTCGACAAAAATTTTCAAAAATATTCCAATCTGTTTGCAATACCTCTAGGGGCAAAATGAGAATTTTACGAAACGTTTTAAAGTCATTCAAAAAGAAAAGAAACGGGTGCAAAACACCCCCGATCTATTTATCAAAACGTAACGAGCTTCGTTTCTGAGGAGTGCGCATCAAACATGGCCAAATTTACGTCGTTTGCAGAGCGATTCAACGCAAAAGAGACTTTGAAGTTGTGTCAAAGACCGCATGGGACATCGCAATTCCGCTGGAACTACAAAGAAACTTTAAAGGCGGAGAATTCCTTGGCTCATGCCTCGGGGCTGGGGGATTGCGACCGACTTATAGTGTTCACAACTGAGGCAAACTTGGACATTCTCGAGCGTTAGATAAATTGAACGCCAATGGCACATTCACTTAAAAGTTGTCCATCTTTTTTATCAAGTACATACTGCACGTGCGGCTATAAACAACGGCTCTCTCCCAATGGTTTACTTTCTGTTACAACGAAAAACTAAAAGCAATACCAACGAGCCTTTCGGGTGTTACGTGAACATAACACACTATTAGACAACAGAAATTGTCATTAATTTGGAAACAGCAAATTCTGCTTTCAAATCGAATTTTCCATAGCGTCTGTAGAAGGGTCCTTTTCTCATTTTGCGCAGCCCATTCGATCAAATACAGGAATAAGGACTGGCGGTTGAATACAGAAAAGACAGACTTCTGGAAGAAAGCAAAATCCTTTATTGCGCTGGCTCTCATTCCTGAATTCGACTTGAAGTTGGCACTAGAAGCTCTCTACACCACAACTGAGAATGAGCAGCTCCGTTTATATCTTGATTATTTCGAGAAAACGTAATTTGGTGAATATATAAGTGGATCTCTACGAAAATATCCAAATTTCACACCAACTATTTGGAATCAGTTCAACAATGCGATAAATGGAAATCAAAAACTAACAATTTGGTCGAAGGATGACATAGTGCTTTTCCATTAGGAATGAAATATGCTCACCCCACTGTATCAAAATTCTTTCAGTAAACAAGAAAGGAGCATAGTTTAACCAAAAATCGCCTGATTCGATTCAAATCCGGAGAAAAGCCCTTCGTCCTGTCTAGTTTAACCAAAAATTTTTCAGCCAAAAATTGCCTGATTCGATTCAAATCCGGAGAAAAGTCCTTGGTCATGTCCTAAAATGAAAAATAGCGGTCGCTCTTTTGCCCGATTTCCACTTTTGCAACACAAGGCCGCTATTTGCCTTTTAATTGTCAAATGAGCTAGAAGGTCAGCTTGAAAACAAACAAAAACACGCAAGTTATCTCTTAATTCCTTAATTTTCTGCTCGTCTAATTTGATTGTCTAATTTCCTAAGCCCCAATTTTAGTCTTCATAAAAAACCTTATAAGACCACTCGTTACACCATTATAGGGATGCTCGTATTAGGTGGTGGGAAAGGTAAAAGAGCCCATTTGAAAATTCCACTTTTGTTTCTTTTGTCCAGATAATTAAAATAACGGCTCTTGCAGGTTCTCAACTCCATTGATATAAATTACAAAGCGCAAACCTCCCCCCAGGTTACATCGCGTGATAATTAATTTTACGGTTTATCGAGTGGTTTTACAGCCGCGTTTGACAGGGTGGATCGTAGCATGTTTTTTCGTCGCCTAGAAGTTGGGATCCGGGGTAATTTGCTGCGTCTCATGAAAATCTACTTCTCTGGTCGCACGTTCCAAGTTGTATGTGAAGGTGCTAAGTCTGTTAGCCGCTCTAAGTCAGCTGGAGTCTGCCAAGCATCTTGTTTAGGCCCCGTACTCTGGCTAATCTACTTAGCAGGCATCCGCGGTTCATCTGTTGAAAACGACGAGTCAACGCGCATTTACACTTTTGCGGACGATCACAGTATCAAAAAATCAACAGAATCCAGAACATGCAGTAGTGCTGACGCAGCACCTAAATAGTGCGAAGACCATCGCATTGCGATGGAGCCACCTAAGCGGGTGCTCACCACTTTCTCACTAATTGGTAACAACCCAAAAACTGCCACCCTCCAGGGTCTCCAGCTCGGCAGAAGATTGACTATGAAATGTCATTTTGACGAAGTTGTAAGCCGAGCTTCCTTGAATACATCTCAGTTCCTCCGCCTTTACCTACCACACCACACCACAGAATAGAAAACGCGTACAAAACATGTTTGGTCTTTCATTGAGCACGGTATCCCAGGGTACATCCACGCGACCGACGCTCAGCTAAACAGACTAGACGTTTGTCAGAAGCGCTTCTGCAAACTGCCAGGCTGTGACCTACCACCTCTTTCCTGGCGGCGTCATGTCAGTATGATTTGCTTCCTTTATCGCATCATAGTCTTAGGCAGAAGTTCAGCAAACACTCATCGCCTTTTTACCTCCCCCCGTCTGATATCCCGATATATTCAACTTAAGGCAGTATCAAAACGACACCAGTTCACTTCAGTTCACAGTAGAGACCAGAACAGCACTAGACTGCGCTGTCTAGAGAACAAGGTCGAGAGTACTGAAGGCATGTAATAACCTTCCCTCAGACACTATAACGTAGCTTCTGGAGTTGACAAACTGTCCTCCTTCAAACTGAACATTGCTAAACTGTA